TCCCTTTTAGGCTGAGATCATAGCGTTTGCTCAGATCAACATTGCTTCGAAGAAGAACGACAGGAATGACGTTGCAACGCGAACACAAAACTACATCTACCTGAAAACTTCCATAATAATAAAAAACCAATCATGACTTTTCTTCTCCTATAATAGGATACAGTTTCATAAATCATTTTCATTGGTGTGAACATGATATGCTCGGAACGTTTACACTTAAAGGAAAGTTGAAAAAATATCTGAAAAAATAAAAACCTGAGAAAACAGCTCCCCATCGAATTCAACCGCGGAAAGTTCAATCGATAATGACTTGACCACGATTTCTGTCGTAGCTTCGTCAGGAATACGCTTGGAAGAATCTTCAAAGGCAGATTCAACTGAAGAAAACATGCGCGACAGTGACTTCGCAACAAATGCATTTTCAAGCACAAGGGCAGATTTTCGCAATAACTTGTACTGTTCATAGAAAGAGTCCCTGGTCAGACCCGAAGAGTCGCTGCTGCCTATGGCAGATGTGGTCATGGCCAGCTGGTTAGGCACCAAAAATGCACTGTTGATCATGCGCAGCAGCTGTGGATAGTTCGACTGGAACGTCAGACGGAAAGCGGTGTGGTCAGAAAACTTCTGCTGCAGGAGGTAGGCTAACGCTCGCCACAACCGATCCTCATCGTCGTGTCCAATTAGGTCAGACCAGAGTTTGTGGGACACTGTATCGCGCTTCCTCTGTGTGACGCCATGCAAAACAATCATCTTTTTCAACAGATCTTTCACGAACTCAAACAGGTCGTTCATGTGCGGCCATAACGAAGACTGAACAGCAGAAGCAACAGAAATATTAGGCAACGACGCACTTCCAGGAATTGTTTTGCCTTCAGAAGAGGTGTAAGTAGATCGTGCAGTGCTTTCAAAAATTTGGTTTAACATGCCTTCAAACTCTGCAGATATATCGTCCATGTAAAGGCGAACTTGCTCCTTCAACGCGTTCATGTTCCGGAAGCACTGCAAAGCAAAAGTGACTTGTTTTTCATCCTTATTTTCCAGTCCTATAAGAAAAAGTTTCTGGCTCTCTTTTAAACATTCGGCTCGACGCTTCGGGATTGAATGTACTTCATCTTGGATAATTCGAATTCGTTTCAAATCATCCTTGGAGATCAAAAGTCTGTACATTGACTGGATCAGTTGAGAAGAGGTTGTCAAATCTTTCGAATTTCTTAATTTCGAGCTCTGAAGCAATATGGCTTGAACTGAATGAATGAGCGAACAAGTTCTTTGAATGTTTTTCAGCTGAAGTGTCAGTTTCTCAACAGTCCCATAAAGTTCATTTATATGACCGCCAAACTCAGATGCATTTTTCGTCAGCATCGAGGTTCTTTCAGACATTATGGACAGTATGTCTTCTAAAGATTCAATTGTACTGGCCTGGGAAAGCAGTTTTTCATGATTTGCAGCGATCTGAAAACTTTCAATTACAGTATTTGAATCAAAAGCATCACAAGTGATGACAATTTTATGGCAAATGTAAGAAGACACACTGAATATTACTCAAATATCATTTCTCTCAATTTTAACTACAAAACAAAAGGAAAATTTCTATGCATTTACTGCTCAATGGAAAGAGAAATATCACATCGATGTGTCGAATAAGTTTTCAGAGAATTCAAGCATTTAATTCGAATTAGAATTTATAAAATGTTTATTGAAGCTGCATATGCAATTTTGAGTTATTATTTAACTATATTTTGATGGGTTCAAGGAGTGCGCAATCATGTTAACTTCAGAGTTAAATCTGTGAGGATCTTATATTTCAAGGTGGCACACCAACGGTGGAACAGATGAACTTGTTGCAGTTTCCATACGCTTCGATGCTGGGCCGTAATTGACGCTTCGTGGCTTTGTGTGTGAGACAGTAGTGTGCTTCTGAACTATAACGAATGAAAATGTGCCTTAAACATTTTCTAATTCAACATGAAACAGTTATAACAGGGAAGCAATTCAGCGTACAGCGAAGCCATGCACATCGTGATGATAGAAAAGATGCCACGCAAAGCAAATCGCTTAACATTTCTACGAGTCAATTCACCTTGCTTTCGCTCTGCTACGATAACTTTCAGACTGTTTCTCTCTCTATTGTAATCGGCCTGGGGTTGCTAGCAAACAGGAAACGAAACCAAGTCACAATCCTTTCCTAGCAATCATAGCGCATATGCAACAACTGTCCACACGAAATATCATAATACTCCCATCTATATAATAATCTCTATATTTCTTCCAACATGCAATGGTCCTTTTATACACTTGCGGATTCTTTGTTCATCTTCGAGGACCAATTCGCGTTGATCTGCTAGCTGCAATTCCGG